GTCGCGCACGTTCGCGATAGGGTGGGCGGGGTAATGGAATTTCACCTCTTATTTTTCGAATGGTTACAATTATAATAATTAATATTCGTAATGTTCGTAATGTTATTGTTGGTTATATTGTTTTGGTGGTTAATTTTTGATTGATTGGAATTATTAATATTTACATCAGTAATTATCAAGGTACTTTGCGTACTTGTCCCGATCAGTTTATTTATTGCCTTCCATACATAAGCATAGGAAGACTGAGTTGCAGTAGCGTTATTATCGTTCGTATAATTCGTAGCATCTTTCAATCCCTATAAAAAAAAAAAAAAAAAACATTGAATATTAGATTTTCTCGTATTTTACTAATTTAAAAACGGAGAGGTTCAACCGGGGAGGCAATTTATTTTACTATAAATACAGAGGGAGAAAAGAAAACAGTTTTTGCTATATGTGTAAGTTTAAGTAGTTTAAATAAAGGGTTTTAAGTTTTTACGTCGTTGCTTATATTTGTTGTCACCTTGTACGTTTAAGTCGGATCTGAAATCGGTTAATTTATGATCGTTGAGGACAAAGGTACCATATTTCGCATTTCTATCTACCTTTGATAACAAAACTAAAACTGATTAATTCAAGGTCTTTTTGTTACTTAATCAGAGGTAGATGTATATGGATTGAAAAATACATATACGACAATAATTAAAGCACCCTTAAATGTTTGTGCAACTGCTACGGGAGTAGCTGGTAGTATTAGTCGGTTCTTTCCCCGTTTTTAAAATTACAGGGAGATTTAAAAACGTTTATCCACAACTTTCCCCAAACATTGACTTCGCCCGTCTCAAGCAAATACAAAATTTGATCTAGTCGACTATGACACTGGCTATAGTATTAACATACTTACTTACCCTAAATTCAAATTTAACAAACTCTACACTCAATGCCTTAGCCCACTAGGCCATGAGCCCATAAGTTATTTAATTGATATTTGCGCATATAAGTTGAAATAACGAAAAATAAAAAACTATGATAAAAAACGAAAATCTCCCTGTAAGGCCGGGCGCACACTGATAGAGCAAAACTGTTTCGAGCTGCTTGGAGTAGCTCGGAGCTGTTTGGAGGCAATTATAACACATGTAAAGTAAGTGACGCGCGCACACTAATCAGTCAACATCAACACACGACAAGACAAAACGAAGCATGATCGGTCTTGTTCGGTCTGGTTCTATTTTTTCTCCGAGCAAAATACGAAAATGTTAAGTATAATCGTATAAAATAGTTTATTATACGAATAGCTTACAACTGAACACTATCGTTATTTTGGTGTCACACAGATTTTTATGATTTTACTTGATACTTCTCATACTATACTTCATAAATATTTCATAATTATACTTCATAATTATTTTAAAATGGGATGCGATCCAGAAAAATTGATAAATCTTGTTTTTTTAAGAAAATCTATTTACGATTTTACCGATAAAGAGCATAGCAATAGAATCATCCAAGACAGATTATGGAATGAAATCAGCACAGAAATGGAAACATCAGGTTAGTTAATAAAAATATAAAAATAAAATAATTTTACTTTTTACATGATGAGTACGTAGTGTATTTCTATATTTATGTATCTGTAATATAAATCAAAATTAAATCAATAGTCAAACTATTTATACATTTACATTTTTGAGCTATTTAAAATTATAGTATTATAATATTATAATATTCTAGTTGATTAATTTTAAAATGTAAAGAAATGTTAAATTAAAACTTATAAATTGTACATATTTTGCCATGGAACTGCACCAATATCTGAATTGAAATAATTCATGAACTTCTCTCGGATATCCATTGCTGCAGTAGATGCTCTATTTATTGGTCTTGATGTAATTTGGCTTTGAGCAACCGTTTGGGTTGTTTGAAGTTGAAGTTCATCTTGGATTTCAGATGGAGCCCCTTCTTTATCCATTATTATGTTATGTAAAATACAACACGCCTTTGTGATAATAGTAGCTTTTTCAGGAAAAACTAACATTTTATTTTCTAGAACATTAAATCGTTTCACAAGAATCCCAAATGCACATTCTACTATTCTTCTGGCTCTCGATAAACGATAATTAAAAATTCTTTTTTCATTAGTTAAATTTCTTCTTGGAAAAGGTCTCATTAAGTTTGTTTGCAAAGGATATGCTTCGTCCCCAACAAATACAAACGGAAACTCGTCGTTAATTTGAGGATCAATTTTTTTTGACTGCGGAATATTTAATTTATTGTTTTTTAATAATTTTCCAAAATTGGATTCTTTAAAAATACCACTATCACTATTTCGTCCATAATCACCGATATCTACAGCTATGAATTTAGCATTAGCATCAACGACGGCTTGAAGTACAATAGAATGAAATCCCTTATAATTATAATATTCTGAACCAGCATTAGGAGGGCATTGTATTGATATATGTTTTCCGTCAATCGCGCCAAGACAATTCGGAAAGTTCCACAGTTCTTCAAAAGCTTTTGCTGCTTTTATCCAATGTTCAGTTGTAGGTGGTGGCATATAAGTAGGACATAAAATATCGCATATGGCACAACATACGTCACTTATAATTTTTCCAATAGTTGAAGCGCCAAGACGAAAATGATAATGTAAGCGTTTAAAGTGTCCTCCAGAAGCTAAATAGCTGAAAAATAATAATTTATTCTATTATACCTATTTATTATACTAATTTTATTTCACATTTTTGGGCATTTTAGCCATAAATGCTTATTTTATTTTTTATGTCATTTTTAAATTCTGAACGGAGTGATGAATGTTTTGATTTTACAGAGATGTTTGTTTTTTATATGTATGTCCACGATTACTAATGAAAATAATGCTTCGATTTTAAATTTTAAATACTTTCTTACTTGAAATGTTCACCTAATATTTATTCGCATCATCTATATATAGTATAACTAAATTATATTATTTTATCAAACGATGAATAAAAAATCTTATTTGGTTAGGTTGAGGACAACAATTTATATTTTAATAAAAATATTAAATGAAAAAAAAAAATCATAATAGAATAAAAAAGTTAGATTTTTTATAAAAATTGGATATTTAAATTTATATATTTTTTTTAAACCAATACATTCATCGCTCCGCTCAGTCTAAAATATCTATAGATTACCAGTTTTTTGAGATTTTGATGCAGTATATCAAAACTTTAAATGCATAAAACAATAATTAATTAAATATACATTTTCTAGTGGCAGAGTGTAAAACTAAGTGGGCGTGTCTTCGTAATAGTTTTGCAAGAGCTTTACGTGAAGAAAAATCAAAAATATCTGGTTCTGCTGCTTCGAGAAAAAAAAAGTGGTATTTATTCAACGAAATGTCGTTTTTGTCAAGTTTCATGTTGCAGCACAAGCAAACATCAAGTAATCTGGAAGCATCAGATGATGAAAGTGAGGCAACTGATAGTGAGAAAAGTACAGAAAATCCAAATCTCAATGAGAGCGTAAGTGAAATTGAAAGTGAAGGTACAAATGCTACATGTTTAATTGACAGACAAGAGCTGAGAAGAGTATCTTCTGAACCGGTTTTTAAAAAACCAAAAAAAACTCAGGTTAAAAATTCGGCTGTAGAACAAGTTGCAGGGCCTATGATCGAATTTTTACGTTCAAAAACAAATAAGTCAGCTGTAGAAGATGTTGATTTATTATTTTTTAAAAGTCTTTTGCCCGATTTCAAAAAATTAAATGGAAAAAACCAGCGCCAGTTTAAACAGTTTGTGTTAACAACTTTAAATACATATATAGACAACCAAGAAGCTCAAGAATCAGTAGGTAATGATAAAGTATCATATGATAATACTACATCAAATGTACCAGTACATGAATTTCAAAACTACAACTATACTTTCAGTCCACCCGGATATTCATCATCAAATAGCTCAACATACTGATTTTAAATACTTATTAAATTATTAATACTTATCGTATAAATTTAAAAATAAATAATACATTTTAAGTAAATAAATAAAAAATAAAATTTTTAAATAAAAAAAAAAAAAAAATTATATTGTATAAATTTGTTTTTCACTTACTTCACTTACTTACTTAAGTTTGATTAATAAATATTTCTAGTATATAATTATAGTATTATTATTTGAACTCACCTCAAGGTTACTAACAATTTTTCAGCAGGAGCTATACTTTGACGAAAATTTGTGTCTTGTGATCTTATTGCCTCTCCAATTTCATTTAATATAAAGTCAAAAGTAGTTGAACTCATGCGAGTGAAATTTTTAAATTTTAACTCATCTTTACGCAATTCAGCCAAAAAATTAAAAATTGTATTATTCTCTGTACGTTTTTTATTTATTTCGTGCACCCAAATTTTACGTTTACGTTTTTTTTCATTTATTTCACTATTTAACAAAAATTGCCACAAAAGCGGTATAACAACATCATCTTCATCAGAACTCATCTTGACGACTGGTGTAAAACAAAAAATGAATCGGAAATTATTTTGTCTTGTTCGGTTTTGTTTTGTCAGTATGAATGAAATTTGTTCGGAGCCGTTTGAAACAAAATGTTTCGACTAGCTCGGAACAGTTTTGCTCTATCAGTGTGCGCCCGGCCTAACTGTTAAAAACGAGGTTAGGAAGCACACACAAATCTGATCACTCTAGAGGGAAACTCGTGGACAAACGTTTTTAAATCTCCCTGTAATTTTAAAAACGGGGATAGAACCGAATAATACTACCTACTTATGGGCCTAGAATTTTGTCTTACAGACGTACGAAATACATTTTCAGTTGTGACACGAGTATCCCTCTCATCAAAATGTATGACAAGTATAATTAATAAAAAAAATATAATTGTAACAAAAACAACATTTAATATTTTAGAGTATATTTTTGATTTATCTTCGGTTTGGATAGCTTCTTCAATCTATAACATAAGAATAGTTATTAATTATTATTATTTTCACTCGAAAACTTCTATGAACTTACTTGTACGTAACACGATTTGTTAATGTCTATTGTGCCTATACAAAGTTACAATTCATAATGTTATTTATGTTACGAATTGAATTGATATTTACTTATATAATAATAATTCCGGTTGCCATGTTCCTGTTCCTAATATTTGTTGTTAGCCAGTTAAATAAGTTTGTTTGAGCAATAATATTATTAACATATTTTTTAATGAGTGTATATTATTTTATATATTTTTTTTTTTAATCAACATTTTCGAAAGACTTATAAGGTAAGGGTAATGAATAGGACTTGATACACAACGTTATTATTTGAATATATATACATATATATTTTATTTACAATTTAAAGCTTTAAACACATTTTTATCTTCATGTTAATGAAGTTAATAGAAATTGTAGCAATGTGATTTAAATTTCATACTAAGGTATTAAGAAACTGAGCATATCACTCATTCTCTAAAAGGTGTGATGAGGAGTAATATGTTATATAGTATACTATACACTCAATGTATAGCATGTTTTCATGATATTTTAGAAATTATCAACACATATTACGTAATATAACGTTTAAAGTTTAATACGAGTATTATTACTAACGGAATAGTTAATATATATCACATTAAGATACGAGATTTCATTTGAGGGGGTGCATATAACTCACGACTATTCAATCGTCCGTCGCGATGTGTGTTGATATTGAGTACTATAGATTATTTCTTACGTAACACAGTAACACTCACTTAAGACGCTCTTTAAGGTACCAGCTTTCTAAAACGTTTTAAGCGTGGGAAAACGCCTTATGCAGGAATGAAAAAAAATGAAATTATTGAAATATGGAATTAATAATTTTATTATTGAATATAATTTAACAGGCAATACACTAATACATTAATTATAATTACATACATACATACATACATATTTTGCTTCTAAATTTAATTTTAAAAAAATTATTATTACATATTTTAATATTGTTTATTATAAAGATGATCTACTTTTGTTTGCTTACGATTCTGACAATGCGTTTCAGCAAAAAAGTTTTCTATTTTGTTAAAACAACCCAACATTTCTTCGAAATTTTGTACTGAGGATAATATATTTTGAATTTCTGATAGGTGTTGTAAACCATTTACTAAATTTCAGAATACGACGGAGTACATCTTTCTGTGTATAACGGGGTGTGACAAGTCCGTCTGGATTTTAACCCAACGATACTCAACCTCTTTATATAATCGCGAAGTTACCTCATACAGTTGGAGACCTAGATGAGCTCTCTGGAACCAGGCACCCCAAAAATCCGCCCGGGGCGTCACCTTTGCTTAGACGTCTTAATGAGCGCTGCCACAACCAAGCCCCACGGTTTTCCACCCGAATCAAACCCCTTCTACTAAGGCGTTACTCCCGTAACCACCACGAGTAAGGACTCGAGTGCGGAGGCCGTTTCAAGGACGAGCGTGGGTTCTCGGTGAACACCCGCGGTCGCCTATCATCCGACCGTCGTCCCCCAGAGCGCCAGGATGCTATTAGCAAGCGGGCTTAACGGGGCTTTCTCCGGGTCCCATTGTACGAGGTTTAAACCTGGCGTTCTGACCCTCCCAACTGTCGTTTTCCGCAAGAAAATTGTCGGGGCACTGCATATCGGGGCATATGTTTACCGTGACGATTCCTTTTCGTACGTACGACTTTTTTGTTAACAGATTATTGTTTCTATTTAGGTGCCTAAAGTCGTATCAAACCCCGAGCCTAGAACTTCCTAGGAGAAGTTTTTGAATGCAAGGAACATAGTCTCTATGGAGGTCTTGGTCTCACAATCGCACGGTCAGTCCACACCAGCCGCCTGCACCGCGAGAGCAAATCTTTCTCTTTCTTGGCTAAACAATGAGCAGTCAAATAACACTTGTTCGGCGGTTTCCTCAGAAAGACCACACGGGCAACCTGCTTCGCCTCGAAGGTTGAAACGGCAGAGCGAAAAATTTAAATCCCCGTGTCCAGACACGAACTGCGAGATGAAATGGTCCGGGACGAACTATGTCTTCTCCAGTTTGAGCCGCACGGTCGAAAACTAAGACACTGTCCGTCTTCCCTTGTCACTGGCAACCCATCACTCTTACCAGAAGCGTATGGTAGTCTCGTAATACTGTTTGGCCTTTTTGACAGAGTCTGAAGCCGACACGTTTCCTCTCTTCACGGCGTTCCTATCCCTCTCGACCTTAGCCAGCCAAACTAGTTCTAAGTCGAAGGGAGGTACTCCAGCCATGATATGGAGTACCATCGTCGATGTGGTCTTATACGCGCCCATTATTGCCAGTAACCGGCGTCTTTGGGTGGTATTTTTCTGTGTCTGTGCCGATACTGTGTCATGAAGCTCTCAGTCCAAACCGAGGCCGTATAACTCATACGTGATAAGAACACCGATTTGAAGAGAATCCTTGTCATCTTCTCTTTAAGGCTCCAGATAGCCTTAACCACCGATATTAATCAACTGAATAGCACTACCGAGAACCTTCTGATTTTTTTAATGCTTCAAAGTCCACTGTGGCTGGCATCAAAAGTCGAAAATCAAAGGAGTATAAGACATCTTCCGAAAAGTAGTTTTGTAGATCATTTATAACTGAATCTAAGATTGGTATATACGTTTAGGTGTATCAAGAGTACCTGAACTAACCGTTCAGAATTCACTTGGTTGATAACTTCCTATTAAAAGGCATGATATGTTATTAAAAAGTCTTTACATACACTAACTGCGTCTTTATGATACTTTGAGTTATCATAAGTTGTAAAGTAACCATCTTTATCATAAAGCTTTGCAAATGATGCAAGTGATTTTTTACCAACTTTCTTAGTTAATTACTACTCTGGTGAAATCCATAATCACCAGAAAAAAGTACACAATACTTGCAATAAAGACCACGGTGAACATCTAACAGGACAAACCAGTGAAGGACTTTAAGACGATAGGGTCCAACAAAACGTTTAATATTTCTGCGACCTTTTGAATGTAATGAAAAAGGAAAATTATATGTATCGGTTGGAAATCATAGATTTTCTAATAATTAAAATTTAGTAAAATCGTTCAACTTATTATTTTTATCAAAATAATCAAATGCTCTATCTATTTTGGTATTTTTATTTTCAGGTTTTTCAATATCAATAGGACTGGGTAGATATCGTTGATGGTTCAGCTGCATTAGCGTTAGTTTCAGTAAGTTAAATATCATGTTCAGTAATTTCATTTTTTTTTTTTTTTTTTATGAAAAAAAAATCTATTAGTTTATATAATTGCTGCTTCCTACTATCAGAAAAAGCTGAATTTTCCTCTTTATCCTATATAACATTAAAAACATTCATTGAAAGTTGAAAAAATTTTTGGTAATTTTATTATAATTTTTTTAAATTTGTTTCGTTTTAAAAAAAAGTATTAGTCTTTAACTTTAAAATTTAATTTATCTATAAACTTGAGATTTTACAAAATGCTTAAATTAGTATTTTCTTTGCATACTTATATTTTTTAAATATTTCGATTATTTTTAAGCTATTTATAGGCATTTGAAATATTTGATTTTTTTTTAAGTTTTATTTTACAAATGTTTGCCTAGTTAAAATATTTCGAAAATTTAATACAAGGTCTCGCATAAAATGGCCTACAGTAGCTTAAAAAACTTTAATATACATAGGTATACACTATATTTTTTTATAAACGTTTGAAGTTAGAATTTTTATAAAACTTGTCAAAATTTCGTATTAATAATAGAAACTTAATTCCGTCTCTATTCATTCCATTCAGGATCGTTTTTTATCGTATACAATAATTTATCTTTTAAAATCTATGGTTTGTTATCATTGAAAACATTAATTATAAATTAAAATAACATTTTTTTTAAATTAATAATCTAAATTCTAAAGTTATAATATAGTGAATACCAACTTATTGAAATAAAATAAAGAGTTTAGAATCAAGAAATTAATCAAAGAATTTAATGTATTGAAATAATACGTACCATTACAATGAAAATTGCAATATAATTAAATTAACAACTTATAAGTTATAAGAATTCTTGTCTTAAATTTTCAATCACTTTTTATCATTCATAATTTTTTTATTTGGAATTTTTAAAATAAAAAACTAAAATGATTTTTGTCGTCTATAAATTTCTCAAAAAAAGTAAAATTATTTTTAAAGTTATATTGAGTTTATTAGTTATTCATATCAGTATTACGAAACTTGTGTGTCACAAAAATTATTTAATTTGTTCTAATAGTTTAATATATTAAAATTTACCAAACTATTGACAAAGGTCACCAAAAAAATATATAAATCATATATTTAATTTTAAGACTAAAAATATATCTTGTATCACTTTAATCTAAAAACATAAAACTCACTCATACAAAACGTATTTAGATATAATATACATTTGCCAATTTATATCTTTGATATAACGATACATACAACGTTGGTATCCTGATATACTGTTACACGCCTTTGTCAAATGTATTCATTAATATTAATTGTTGATATACAAACTTAACATATACTTATATATATATATATATATTAACATATATTATACATTTATATTTCTTACAAATTTTATCATCATCATTTTTTATTTAGATTATTTATTTTATTAATACACACATTTCTAATTTCTTATTTCTAAGCAGTACATTTATCTGAATATTGTTATGTATGAAAACCGATTTTTGATCGCGTAATTATAACCAAATAAATAATAAAATATTTATTTATAGTTATAACATTAAGCATACAAATATTTAAACTGAGATGAGCAAATAGTTGATAGACCAGCGTTTCTAAGTATACTTCACTTGTAGTTAGTAGGACATTTGTAAAAAATATACCAACTACTTTTTAAAAAAAAAATCATATTTTTTTGTCTATATCATTATTAGTAATTTTCATATCCATATTTGTCGATTCAGCATTAATTTTTACAGTAATGGGTTCCTTCACCAATCCAAAATAATTGGTTACTATACTTATAAAACACATAACAATAGACGTGTAAGCAAAAAATCGAAACGACCACACTCCACCATATGTGTCGAATAAATATCCACCCAGTAGACTACCTATAGATTCACCTGCGAAACAAAAATAATTAAATACATTTCTGTAGAAAAAAATACATAATATACTTGTCTATTATATATTTTTTTCAATCGTAATAATATAATACCGTGGAAATCATACCGTAAGTGCATAAATATTGTATAAAATAATTTTTAGCTAAACAAATAAAATTGTAATTAAATTAGGTAAGTGGATACTGCATTGCTGCCCGTATAAGATGTCGAGTGGATCACTATTATATTGTGTATATTAAATTTAAATTTAATGATATATCATTATATATGAAATAAGATTCTGAGCGAAAACAGTCTATCAGAGTGTTAACCTTATCACTAAATATATTTTATGGTGTATCAAACTAATTTATTTTGGTTTTAGCAATATAGCTGGTTGAATTAGTTTTTTCTAAAAAAAATTGCATTTATTATACATATCATTAATATTTAAGTATTATAACAATACAAATTTATATCATATTATTATATCAACTGATATTATTCAAAATTTAATGACATTTTTTTATAAATACTGTAAAGTAGTAAAAATTAGTTCATAGTATAAATATCTAATAACTTAAAATAAATTAAAAATAAAGTTTTTTAAATGTTTATAAATTTCCAACTAAAAAATAATTTGAAAATCTTTAATATTTTTATGAATTTCATAAAAATTATAATTTTAAACTATTATAAAAAAATTGTCATCATAGAGCTTAAATATTTTTTAATTGAAAAATTAACTTATAAGAAGTCTTGTACTAAATGTTCGATTATTTCTATCCAGCAAATTATTTTTAATAATATTAACAAGGAAAACAATAATTTCTCATTAAACTATTTTCTTATTTAATTATATTTAAAAACAAATTATTAATGTAACATATTTTACATAAGGTTAATTACTTCAAATATTAATATCGCTATCTTCGTTTTAATATAAAAAAAAAAAATTATCATAAATAGGAACTGGAAATTTTCGCCAAACATTTAAAATTATGATTTTCTGCACGTAGTATAATTTTCAAAATATTAATAGCAAATATTAATTAATATAAATTATTAGCTATTAATATAAATTTTACATTTTCATTATTATTTTTTTATTATACTTAAATAATATTAATATAAAAATTTTCGCTCTGTCAATAAATTTGAAAATTTAATGTAAAGTTCTTGATAAGTTTTAATTACGACCATTTAAAAATATTAAAAATTAATATACATGATTTTTTTTTAATAAGCATTTTAATTTCAAATTTTAACAAGATCAATCAAAATAAAGAAAATTACAAACTGTTTAGTAACTAAAAGTCTAAAAAGTGTTTAATTTAATTTAATAAAATGGTCCTTCCAAATGTTTCATACTATAACCAAAAATCTAAAAAACTAATCAAACTTAATAGACATCAGCAGTTCAAAAAAAGTTATATTTAAACAAAGATTAATAATTTTAGTTACTTTGTTGTAATTCAAAATTTTTTTTTGTGACAATTTAAAGCTTTAATTTAGATATTTATATTTTATATACACATAAAGTATTCAAAACATTTGGATTAATTATATGTTACTGCTTCTTTATAGTTTATCAGTATTACAAATAATAAAATAAATTACTATAATAATTATTATCATTAAATGTATATCTTATATGATAATAGACTGAATAACGATTCTGCTTGGAATCATTTTTCGAATGCAATGATTAATCATTAAATTCTAAATTTAAAACATCCATTTCAGTAACCTATTCAATGACAGATTACATTCAAACTTTTACTGTGATTATCAACATTTTTCCTTTTTTTACATTTATTCCTACCACCAAGGTCAAATAATCCTATAATCTCGACTAACAATAGGTAATCATTCATTTTACACATATAAAACATAATTTAAAAAAATACCATGTGAACTTTTGATTTATACTTAATAACACAGTATACTGCAACGTACAATACTTATTTGATAATTATTGATGTAAGACAGTAGTTCTCAACCGGGGTGACATATCACCTTAGGGTGACATGGAACTAGCTTAGGGGTAACGCAGAATTTTAACAAGAAAAGAAAAAAAATTTAAAAAATTCATTTTTTCAAAAACAATCATATTATTTCTTATAATAAATATATTATACACCTATACCACCACTTTCATGTACATAACATACCTCAAAGTTCCTATCTTTTTAATAGTTTGTATTATTTATATTTATTCTTTTAGTCTGATAAACACATGTACCTAGTAATTTGTTATTTTGATGTTAGGGTAACGCAGTATTTGATTCTAGTGGGCAGTGGCTAAAGGTGACATGAATCAAAAAAGGTTGAGAACTACTGATGTAGGACAATGAAAGAAAAAAATATGTTTGTAAAATCTTTGTTATCAACTCCAATGAGTACCTATAATTTTATCAATTTAAACTTTGACCTATAGCCTTTATAATTTTTATTTTTAAAACCGTATACTTTAAACCTGCAATGTCTAATAAACATTTACATTCTGTACATAATGATAAGTACTTCTATCCAAAATATAATTTATCACTCTATTTCATCATTATTGATTAATAATATTTCTTAAAATGATAACATAATATTTAAAGATATCAAAATGTAATTTAGATATAAAACAAAAAAACTAAATCAATAATTATCTAATACAAAAAATGTCATCGGTGAGGTCTTATAGTACCCAGTCCTACTTTGATTATCGCTATCATATTATAATATATACTACTGTTATATGTATAAATCTTATTATTGTTCAGTTATTGGAGAATACAAACAACTTACCTAACAATAGTTCTCAGGTAGTGTATGCAGTATGTACATGAAAATATTCATTAAAATTTTAAGTATTTGTATAATTTAAAAGAAGATGATTTGGGATTTTAATACCTCACTGTTATAAGGATATGAGACGTTAGTTTTTCAATTACTAAAATGATCTAATGAAATTTCTCGTTAAATTCATAACAAGTGGTTAGTTTTAAGTAATTAAAATCTAGTCAATAAAAAAATAACTACTTATAAATATTAGTTCTTAAATCAAAATAAAATGTATTTCATAGCATACCTATACAATCGAATAATCCTATAAACCCAATAATGGTGTTAAGTGTGTCTGGAGGTGCCAACATTTTTGCATATGACATTTTCACCGCGAATCCCAACGCATACGACACTCCATTCAATAACTCAATAGCAATAATCCAAATTGGATTCCATATGACTGTATACAGATACATTCTTATAGCCATAGCTCCTAGCACTATGGCCATACAGTTGCCATAACCAAATTTTTTAATTATCCAACCAGACCAGAAAAAAAATGGTATTTCACCGCCGAAACATTGGATGCCTTGAGCTAGACCTTGAAGTGTTTTTAACCATGCTTGTTTATTATGATCATTATTAGCAGAAACTAAATCTTCCATGTACCTTGATTAATTATTAAAAAATTAACACCTTAAATAATGTTAATATAATATACAAGACTTATCAAGGATATATCAAATAACCATAAATAATAAAATAATCGAATTTAAAGTTGCCGATTCAAAAAACATGCTTATATTTTTTTATTTAGTAATAAATTTATTCAAATTCTGATGTTTTTGATTTGTAAATAAACTTAAGAATCACATTTTAAAATTCATGAGATTTATTGCATACTACTAAAGTCCAAATGAGTGTCCAAATGTGGTGATACAAACTTCTATTTTACAAATGGAAAACGTCTTTTAAATAGCAAATTATTATTGTTCCTAATACAAATTTCGTACGAGTAATTTTTCAGTTATTAAAATATTTATTTTTAAGATGAAAGTCCTTACAAATAATTTTATAAAAATATTAAATAGATATGATATTGAATTTAGCATTTATACTCTATTTATCTCTATACTCATCTACCAAATAATTTACTATTTAAAAAGTTATTGTCACATGAAAAACAGAAGTTTCTTCCCCAACAGAATATTTCTTAAATAATATAAAAAATTAAATAAATCGGATTTTGAATAAATTCGAAATTAATGAAGGAAAAGAGGGGTGACCATATTTGGTTCACTCTGTATAACCAACACAACAGTTGTAGTTATGTACCTACTTATAAGCTCGAGTAAAATTAAAATTACCATGTAGGTGATAAAATGATATTTTCTATATTGAAAACTCACCAAAATAGAAAGTGAGTTACTATTGTATGAAAAAGCGTGTTGAATATTGACCATATGCAAAAGGAAATCATATAATATTCAGTAAACAAGCCATACATATTCTTCCATCTACCTTTGGATTTATTCGTTTCAACGACCTATAAATGATAGAAATTTATTTACGTAACAAAATAATTAGTATTTATTTTTTTCCAATTATTATAATATAATTAAAGTGTTGTTGAAAAGTACAAGTAAAAAAAAAAATGAATAATTTTGTTAATAAAATTTGGTTTTTATGACTTAGTATCTTTTCTTGTTCTTAATTATTATTAATATTAGTTTGATTCAATATAAAATATAAGAGTAGCTTACTTTTATTTTATATACTACTCCAAAATTAAGAATTGTCATTATAATGTTTGAATAAAATACTGGTGAATAATCTTTATCTTTTTTATTAATACTAAATATATCCACGAGCCACCCGATAAATATAGAAAAACTTCCCCAACCAATTGACGCCCAACATTTTTGTTTTCCAAAATCCTCTGAAGATTTTTCTCCTAAAAATATGAAATATTTAAGTAATTAAAATTAAAATTATTCATATTGTAATTCTTTATTTTACCTAACGTGTCGAGACAAATAGGATTTATTAAAGAAACTATAACCGTTTGACAGGCCCAGTTTGTGGCAACGAGTATGAAAAAAATCCAAAATTGATACAAGTTAAGAACATTTCCTCTGTATGTTGTGACAGCAGCTATGTCCATTATATTATTATTATTTGAACAATTCATAACATGACAAAATGTTTTTAAATAGCATTGACAGGTCGGTGAAAGTATTTGCGTATCATTCATTTGAATAGATAATACTTGAAATACGTATGAATTTGCAATCTATGAAAAAATACATAAACAATTTGTAATGTGAATATAAATATAAAAAAATATGATTAATTACTTGTTTCATATTTTTTTCCATATTTTTCAATTTTAATGTCAAGTCGATTTGGTTGTATTTATTTTGATTTTTGATATCATTAATTGTACTTATCCATGAATCGCTCAAGTCAGATTGATTGTTTAAATTAACTATTTCATAATCACTACATAACTCTGCGTATCGACATTTTAACTGAGCAAAATCAATCGTATAAATAAATAATACATTTCTTACACAAATAAAAAAATGATTTTTAAATATGACAGTAACATTTAAAATAAAAAATAAACAATTATTATTTCTGAAATAGGTATAGAATAATAATATGTTAGTATGTTACATTAAATAAATATATTTTGTTAACTTGTTTTGTACACATCATAGTTTTATAATATTTAGCTAAGTCAAATTAGTTATGTTAAGCAACTAAGAAAATAAATCTGGTTATTGTAAATTTATTAAAATAAGTGACGTAACTAAGCTCTCTCAATTTTTGAAATGAAAGCATACAATTACCTAACCGCAATAACCATAGATAATTTTACTTTGTATATATTTGTACGAAATCTAACTTAAATCGTATGTATTACAGTTTTTAGCGACTTATTATTCTCACCTTGCACGTTATTATTTCATTACTACTATTATAGTTTATAGTGTTATTACTCGTCATTTTTAAATTATTTTCGTTGAAAACAGTGAAAATAGTTTCTGCGTCACATTTTAATTCGGTTGTGTCTACGTCCAAAGGTGCTTTCGGTACGAACAAGAACAATAATGAAACCACTCCTGATCCAAGTATGACCACTAACAATAATATTTTTTTTATCCGAAATTTATCAACAATGACACCAGTCAAAGGTACACAAATCATCGATACTAACGACATGAACGTCATAGTCACGCCAAAAGTTGTTAATGAGTATCCTAATTGTTTTGCTATTGTAGGTAAAAATCCAACTGTAGGTCCTAAACCTATAACAAGAAAAATAACATTTACTTAAAACAATATTTATAGGTATATGGAATAATACTAATACAATACCCACGTCTATTCAATTATTATTACATTCTATATTTTTTCTAATTTTAAAATAATATCTAATAATATCACGAATATTATTAAAACTAAATCGTAAACATAAATCTTTTCTTATATAGTTTACGTTACTAACCCCCATTGTGTGTACTTTGTATTGTAAAAATCCCATTCATATTTTATTTAAGTATATAGTATAACACTTACATGCAAACACAAAGAAGAAGCATATTTTCAAAAGTAACAGCTGTATATTTACTTTTATGTGAACCATGTTTTTAATTTTAAAATTAAAAAAATGTTTATTTTTCACTTTAAATTAAATTAAATAAGATATTCTACGTGTCATATTAAATACAATTAACAATGATAAAAACTTTTTTCTCCTGGTAAACACTGAAAATCTTCTGGTAGGTACACTAAAAGGATGTATGTGTTCAATTGTTGTTAGAATTATTATCGTAATAATCCCGATAGCCTTGAGAAATTATGCGTGTATTATATTTTTGTACATATACCTACAATTATAATAAATTACACTCTTCGGGCATATAATTACGCATAATCTGTAATTATTAAACAATTATTGTGATTTAAAATAAGAGCTCAAAAAATGTATTTGATGTTTAATATAAATAAATAACTTACCACTGTTTTAAATAATCCATATACCTGTTTGGCTGTGTTAGAGTTAGACGTCGAATAGATTTACCTGTTTGTACAAATGTTTGAAATGTTGTATTTGAATTTAACTAGCTAAATCTATAACAATATAAGTAATCGTTCTACACTTGTAATAATTTGAATTTAAAGAGGTGGTAAAAGATAGTAAATAATACTAGATAGCGCCAAAACCTACTTTATTTTATGTAGTTTATTGAATAAACTTTATTCTATAATTAAAGTTTAAGATTACGAATAATAGAAATAGAGATTATTTTAGTGTTCTAATATTGCAAATACATTAATAAATTATTTATTACTGAAACAAGGCCGTAGGACATAGCAAGATAATTTTCTCTATTCATATAAAAGCAAAATTCAGAATAAATTAAAAAAATATTTCTTTAAAAGTAATAAAAAATTAAAATAATAATTTGGCTAAAAATTAATAAAATTAGTTTGTTTTGTAAATTAAAAGCAATAACAAAACACGATTTTCTCCACGTAATCGATTTTAATTACCTACTCGTTTAATCGAAATAATAGTTAAAATAATAGTCCAATAGAAGATAAGAATTTATATTATACAGAAAGACTCTTTCCGTCCCGTAAAACTTCATAATCAAGGCAAATAAAATTAATTCTGTCTATATTATAATGGCTATTGCCTATGACGCAGCTGAGCTAGCTGAGGCAGCTCATAGTGCACCATGCTGCTACGGTCACATTGGGAGTGTACACCATAATTTTCTATATTATAATCAAAAATGTCAAACGTCACGTCAATATCTCTTTGAACAGCTGATAGCCTTATGTTGTAAAATAAAAGTTTTTTGGATTTATGTTGATTTCAAACGATGTTGTAATCGGTCAATAAGAACTTTGCAATACGCACATATCTCTAATTCTACCCAAGCTAAAAAAGTGTAATTTTTAAAAAATATTACACGATTATTTAGCATGTAATTAGCAGCATTTACATGATACATTTCAAAACTTGCACGAATTTAACTTAAGTGTAAATCAAAGTTTATTTAAGATGGGATCAACGAAATGTGATTTCAGCCTCACAATTACATCTAACGTCAACATTTAGTACATAATTAGCATACACTTGCATAGTTACATTTATGGTTAGTTCAAAACTTCTAAAAGTACCCGTTGGATCGCAAATAAAAATAATTTCCAATTTATACATTTCTCTGCCTCACCCCGGTGCGAAATATTTGAATTTCCGGTATATTTCTTGTGTCATTATTTTAAACGTAATGTAGACGCAAATTATGAAATTTTTCATGCAAATTCTAATTAATTACCGCTTAAATAATTGTATAAAAAGTTAAAAATTTTTCTTTATAGTGATATTGAAAACATGCATGTATAATAATGAACTATGATGACAAGCCACGATTCAGTTATTACAGCTACAGGCTTTATACAACGATTGTTTGATACTAACTCGTACTTGATTTTTTTGAATATTAACGGTATTATAGTTGATAATGATAAAATATTTAATAAAATTAAAAGAAGTCTAATATTCAAAATTTCAATCTAAAATGTGTTTATAATACCTACTTGAATTTAGATATTATAAACTAATATACCTTTTAGAACACGTTGTATTCGGAATTTTCAAATCACAAGGGTCATATTTTATTTATTTTATCTTCTACCATAACTAAAAATATTAATATCCAGCGCCACGGTCGTAGCTAGCTAAATAAAAAAAAATAACAGCACGACGGTGTGTGTACTTATAGTATATCGAAGCAGGAGTTGCCTATTTAAACTGTGTAAAATACAAGTAAATTTGTTATACGATATAACCACATAAGCATAACTAATTTTCTAATGCATCAATTAACTTCTAGTAAACTCCGAAACATCAAAAATATTGTGTAGAACATGCTTCTGTGAAATTCATTAAAATCGTACGTTTAGAAATTTAGTTATAAATGAAAAAGTGCAGACTTTTTAATGGAAATTTATATTAAATTCAAAATCGCGATAGCCGTCGTCGTCGTCGCATCGACCGGTTTCCCCGCTCGATTTCGTACATATAGCTCGAGGCCTAGGTGGGAGAAAATATTGTGATGACAACTGTCGGATTCAGTACCATGTGTCAGCGGGTCATAACCATGCAATAATTTTGTTATCTACCGTCGTTAGAAGCTATCGTCTATACTCTGTGTTCTTATAGCGTATTTATTATTAAAGCGTGTTTGTAGTGTAACTGTTCGCACATCGCATACAATTTATGTATGTAATAATAATTTATGTTTTGCAATTGCCACCACGGGGAGTCATTACACAAGCATAATCAAAAAAATCGAATATTTGGTTTAGGTGTAATGATCTTATTTCTAATAAAGAAAGATGGCCTCGTGGTGACAAAGACGTGTATATAATAACTCTAAAAAACAAAACTAAAAAGTTTATCGACACATTATTTTGATTAAGTTATAGATAAGAATATAGATACATTATCATTATATTAATTATTATTATTTGCATTGATGATAAAAATTAGTGATATCACAACAAAAAACCCTTCGTAAACTACGTGTTAAAATGGCTAAGTAAAAAAAAAAATTAGATCTTTAGGCACAATAAAAATGTGATGTCATGAATAAATGCTAAGTATATTGAATTTAAATAAACTTATTTTGTTTCAATAATGTATTTACTTGGTGAGGAATTATTTCTTAAAAGAAATAAAGTGTGATGAACAAAATAATTAAATAGCAAAGAACTGTTAAAATATAACTTATTATTATTTAAAAATATTATTATTACTATTTATATACTATTCTAAATAATTCATCACCAAGCAAATAAATTATTGAAACAAAATAAGCTTACTTAAATTCAATATACTTAGCATTTATTCATATCACATCTTTATAGTGCTTTAAAGGTCTATTTTATTTTTTTTATTTCGCCATTTTTACACGTAGTTTACGAAGGGTTTTTGTTGTGATTCTACTATCATAAAACATTTGCTTTGGAGCATATCACTTGGAACACAATGATTTACGTCCATCGTTGAACGATTCATCAGTGTATATATTATATATTAAATATACATAAAAGTTTTCGACAAGATCATAATATTTATTAGAAAAAAGCATAAATTTAATAATGTATCACATAAATAATGACTTTTTTTATAAAAACGTTGGTATGCCAAATTCAAAATTTTTATGATAAGTTGGTAGTTTTTCAATTATTAAAATGTTTATACTAAGAATAATAGTCTTTAAAAATAATTTTACTATAATAGAATCTATTGTTTATTATACTTTGACCGTTTTTACAAATTATAAATATTGATAAATCAATAATAATCACTACAATTTTCAGCTCATTATTGTGCCCTATCTTCTACATATTATCCTTGGTAAGCTAAATAGCTCAAAAATTAGCTATAACATCATAATATAATAATAGTGCTGCTATTCATATATTTAGCACAAACTACAGAAAATTGATAATAACTGCAGTTTACTGTTCGTGATATCATACACAATAAAAATGCAGAACAGCGTATAATACGTGATTTGGTACCTACTTAGCATAAATTTGTTTTGAACGATACTACAGTGTCGTCGTAAAAATTTCATTTTTTCTCTTTATACACATAGCACCGGTCTTTTACTTCATGCCATGTCGTACAATCATATTTACCTACTTATTTTAATTTAATTTGACTGCATATAATATACATTATATGTATTATAAACTATAAACTCGGTGAAACCGATTTCAAAATATCAGAAAGTCGAAATTGCAAGATAACCCACATATCTACGACGTACAGTACTTACATTTCAATCTAAAATAATATACTTAATCAATAAATTGAAAACAAATAATAGACATTCGTTATTAATAAGTAATAACTTATACAGAGTGATGTGTACCGATGTGACGTAATTCTTCGTTAGAAAGTTTAGGACATTTTAGGGTGACTTCACGAAGCAAGTTTTTTTATTATTAATAAAAACTTATTTATTTCTACAAAAATTAATGATTTAACAGATTATTATGGTTAAATATTACTAAACAAAAGAAAAAATAGATGTTCTGCTGCAAAATATGTTACATCTAGTCGTTCTATAACTTATTCGACAGCCCTGTGTGCCATGTAGTTCAAGAGACAACGACACTCAAACGGCCGGGTAGAAATCGCTAAATCAGCGGGTTTCAGTCATAGCGTTTGGTCCCGTAGTCACGTACGCCAGTGTACATATCGTATTACAAAATATGCTATCACAACGGGAGAAATCAATTAAATTTAATTCATTCATTATTTCAAAAACATTTAAAAGTTTTTGAATATATTTTTTCAAATCATTTTAAGTCGTTAAAAACAACAAATGATAAAATAAGTTATTGATATTTTAATTTTTTAGTGCAAAATATTATCCAAAGTATTAGAAATCAAAATTCAAATGAATTATTTTTGAATTAAAAATATAATTTTTTTTTAAAGAATTTTGTTATTGCACTATTAATATGACATGTATTTATATGCTTTAATTTCATTTTTTTTAATATCCACTGATTAATATTTATACCTGTTACATACAAAGTCCGGAATTGTACATTTCGTAATTTGTACAGTGATTTTTGT